CTCCCCTGTTCATCACACTGGATAAAACAGTGAATCAGATGGGGAGGAAAAGTGCTTGAAATATTGTTCATGGAGAAGTTTTATCAGTAAATAGCTCGACTATATGTAGACAGCTATGAGCAGATGATTTTTATTTGGTTTTTTTAGGTAGGTCAGAAGGTAGAGGAGGATAAACTTTCTCCTGTGGACATGGATTTGAGACTTGTGTATACGTCATTGCTTATCCAGCCCCTCTGTGATTGAGAATTGTTCCTCAGTTCCCTGTTGCAGAAGATAAAAACAGTGATGATTGCTTAACTATTTGGAAGCTGCAAGACTCTGTAAATAGGTAAATCCTTTTATTTTCTAAAGAAAGTAGCCATGCAGTATCAGTCGAAAGTGAAGCTATAATGTATTAGTTGCAGTAGTTGGACAGTCTTGTTTAGTCTGATTACTTCTCCTGCTCTGATTGTCTCATGCAGGTGCCAAGGAAGCTTTCCATTTGCTGGTTAAAATGCAGGACTCCAAAGTGGCCAACATCAAGGCTGTTTTCTTGGTGGTGTCTCTGTATCTTATGCTGTGTCTCGACTCTGGTTCCACTGGAAATCACTGCCATCATTTAGTACTGACTGTTAGACTGTGCTAACTACATAATATTATGAATATGCATAACTCCATGAGGTTTTTTTGTGATTTGTATGGGGTACTTCTGAGGCCTCCCCTGGAAATTTTGGTGTAGATGGTTTGATTCAGGAGCTTCTTACTTAGACACAATTGTAGAAGCCCAATTCTGATCTGCAGAGTCTGAAGGTGAGAGAGCTGCAAAATTAATGGTTAAGTTGTTTATTGTTAGAGACAGGCAAACAGAATGTCATGGATGACAGATTTCTTATAATGATAGTGCTGAAGTTTTGTTGGCAAACTTGGAAACTTGTAATTGTCTTGAAGATCAAGCCCCTTCAGGCTGATTTTATTTGGATATCTCTCCCATTCCTGAACTGTACTCCTCAGACATTTCCTTGACTGGATGCAGCGATTGCCTGTCGATTGCTCAGTCAATAGGCAGCTGAACCAGCTGCCCTGTGCTGGATGCTAACAAGCACAGAGGCTGATCTTAAAGGCTCTCCTAATTAAATTTTGCTTACAATACAACAATCAGTCATTTGGTAGGATAAGACCTATAAATGGTCCCCATGTCTTTTTGTGTAACTGTCCATGGACTGTCACACAGATATGAAAGCATGTGCTAGGGAATGATACCCTTTGCAGATGACTTTGCAGTGTGAGAGAAAGACTCACAGGTAGGAGGATGTTAGCTTAATAAATGAGCTCCAGGGTTTTATATCCTCCATCAAAAAGTCTGACTGGATTCAATAGGGAGAAAAGTAATGGTGAACATAAATTACATTTTCTAGATTCTGAGGCAATTTTGTCCTATGCATGTGGTTTCTAGATCATCTTAAAGAAAAACTAGTTCTCCATTAAATTCTAAAGAGTATTGCATGTTAGATGTGATGTGTCCATGGGCTGAAGGCAGCTGGTAGCTCCCCTGCAGGATCACAGGAGCTTGGAAGCAGAAGCTGGATGCGTTCGTAGCCTGTAGGGATTTGCTGGTTTAACCAGGACTCCTGGTTTAAAGATTTAATCTGAGCTGATGCAAGATTCAAGAGATCACAAAATCACAGAATTGTTAAGGTTGGAAAAGACCTTTAAGATCATCAAGTCCAACTGTCAACCCAGCACCACTACCACGTTCACCATTAAACCATTAAAGCTTTTCTTTTCCCTTATTAAGTGCTTCAGTTTATTTTTTGTGAACTGTAGTGACTATACTAATGGACAAAGCTGAACACCCCAAAGGTCTCCAGAACACATTGTCCTATTGGATTTTTAGGTGTTCTTAGGGGAGAAATTGTCCTTTTGTTCTCAGGCTGTGTCTGTTGTGTTCTTGGCACAAAACAGGTAGCAGTTACTGTGAGAATGCAGACTGCAAGTTTCTGTCCATACAGTGTGACCTGATTTCAATAAAGTTTTCAATATGCAGGTCCCAGGGTTGATTCTTAAAAATTGTTTTCATCACTTATTCAACAAAATACCTTATCTAGAAAATTCAGCATGTGCCAGGTTTTGTCAGAGCACCCTATACAAAAATTGTTAGGTTTTCCTGATGTAGCATGAACTAGGTTGAGACATCTGAACATTTACTTAAAAACTGATAATCTGGCATGTTTAAAAACAAAGATTCCTACTCCTCTAATTTTAGCACATGGAGCTGCTGCCCAGGAGTTCTCAGTAAGCAATGACATTTGCTTGCAGTCTCTAGGTCACATTGCCCAGTTTTTTAATTGGTACCAAGCTGGGCTTACAGGAAGCATCAAGATATTTGGTCTGAAAATCTCCACAAAAGCTCTCTCTCATAATGCAGTTGTTTTTCATTAGTCTTACCCAAAGTAACACTGATGAGGAGACTGATAGTGGAAAAGAGCTTCTTTGGTGTTGCTTGTAATTAAACGCAGTGACATGGATGGCACAGCTCTTGCAAAGTGACTGCTTTAATCCAGTCTGGCTTTAAATCTGCATAAATCATTGAAAGCCAAAATAAGCTGTGTTTAATTAACAGCTTCCAACACAATTGCTTTGGAGTGTTGCATCTGGGACCCCTGTGGCCCTGAGATTTGCTCTGGGGGGGGGGGCTGACATGCTTCCTATTGTTGTTGGACTCCTTTTGCACCTCTAGTCTCCTCCCAGATGTTCCCAGCTGTCCCATCTTGTGTCAAGTATGATTGTCCAGCAGCTTTGGATTGTCAAAATTAGCTGGGTTAGGGGGAAAAAAAACAAACTAAGAGAGAACAACTTTTTTTTTTTTTTTAAGCTAATCCAGATCACTTGATTAAAGCAGGTTTAGGGACTGATTACATGAACTCTTATGGTGGTGGATTGGAGAGGGTAAGAGATGGGGTTGAGTGGAGGGTGACGTTCAGAGGAGGTGAGCACAGTGTTGGGGACCTGGTGAGATGCTGTCTGTGGTCCAGCCAGGATAGTAAACTGGATCTCCTGGCCCAGCTCCCTGTGAGGTGTTCACCCACTGGCGCTGCTACAGCCATCTGTGGATGAGGGTGGCTGAGTGATGGGATGGCTCTGCTGCTCCAGCATCTGTGTGTTCCTGCCAGGGTTGACCGGGTCCCCTGGTCTGACATAATTGGGTGGTTGTTGTCTGAAGCAGATTTTAACCTTCCCTCAGACTGCTTTCCCTGCTGAAGAAGTAGAAGAAATCTGGTGAGCAGCTGGGAACTGATCTCTGCTGATCTCACCAGAGCCAGGAGAGGACAATTTTTAGTTGCTTTAAAAGCCATTTGAGCTTGTACTTGTTGAAAACCTCCTGGCTGTTCTCCCTTTTAACATATTTTTTGCTTTCTAAGCTTCCTTTCCTCATCTCAACAACTTTCCTACATCATTCCTTGAGCAAAACATCTCTTGTTTATAGACGGCACTGCTCTTCTAGGGTTTGGAAGGAAGCACAGGAGCATTGCTGGGAGAGCATTGCTCCCTGAGCCAAGTAGTTTCCCAGCAAAGGAAGTCTTGGACTTATTCTGCTGTGATTACCAGACTCTACCCTGCTTAAGACACTCAGAGCATATGCAACCTGAGCAGCTCTCTTAATGAGACCCTCACATATGTACACTGAAAGTGCTTTCTGTTACTCAGAGTGTCTCTCAGTGATACTCCAGATGCTGCTTTGCCATTCTTGGGGGGATAACTACAGTCTTTTCCGGTCTTTGAGTAAATATAGACATGCACTATATGCGTCTGCTTTGGGAAGTCACTGTGATCTTTGTGTTGATTTCCAAGGATGACAAACCAGGACAACCCAAGATGTTTCTGGCAACAGCGTCAGATGTCAGAATTGCAGCAGGTCTGTTGGAGCATGGCAGAGGTGGGTTTTTTCCTTCGTGAAAGAAAGAAGAGCGGTGTGGCAATCTGAGCAAAGCAGCTGTGTCATTACTGCTTTATCTAATAGTGAGATTTAGAAACAGGATTTGGGTAATAAATACGGGCTTCATGCTAGTTATTAAAGCAAACACAGAGTAACAGAGATAAGCCTGCTGCATTTATTCATGGATAAGAACATAATATATAGGAACACAGAAATATTTTGTCAGAGGAAGTCTGCTCCTCCTGAGGGTACTGTTTAATTGCAGTTGCCTCAAGGCAGCTGGATCCCATTTGTGAGGTGCTGCATGGGAGAAAGAGCTTGTGATCTCTTTTGTCCATGATCAAGTGACTGCTACATAACAAGTTGTTGCTCCTTCTCCTCTGGGACTTGTTCATGTATATGCTTTTAGCCATGGAAAACATGGACTAATTTAGCTTGGTTTAGAGGCACACATGAAGTCTAATTGTCACACATGGTCCAGAGGTTTGGAGCGCACACAGACCATTGCAGAGACCTGGAAGAGGCTTGTTAAGCACAGCATTTGTACGAAGACCCTAATGCCTGCTTTAACATGAGATATGGCAGGTTGGTGCAGCAAAAGGAGGGTGCAAAGCAATAGTGATGCTATTGAATCAACATGTCTGTCTTGGTAAATCCTACTCCAAGTCATTGCTCTTGGTTCACCAGGGGCATACAGAGGTGGAAGAGCAGTTCTTTGGGCTCCTTTCATGTTCATGAAGTTGCAGACCAGGTGGCATGGTAGGAAGGGATTTCTGGGGGATCTCACATGTCTAAGTGGGTTGTGACTGAGCATTCTATCAAAAATAAATCCAGATTGTTCTTGAAAAGTTCTGAGGTTCTGCCTCTCAGGTCCTGGCTCTTCTTTCAAACTTGATTCCTAAGGGCAAGTGATGGGTCTGATCCGAGGGTTTTAACCTCTGTCAAGTAGAAGGACTGAATTCAAGCCTAGGTTTGCTTTTGGTTTGTAGCAGATGATGCACAACACACATTGCCACAGCCTGATCTGCAAAGAAATTCCAGTATTTCTAAGAATCAATTAATGGATGTTAGCAAATTCCTGATATGTGTTTAAGACCATTTGTATGGCTATCAGTGTATGGTTTGTTTTTTTCTCTGTGGCAGTGCCTTGGAGCTCTAGCATCATTGTGCTAGATTTGTGTAAGCAGAGAATAAAAAGGTGGCAACAAAGGTATCTATGTAATGACAGGTGTGTTTTGGAGAGAGAGTGGTCATGTGTGTCAGTCTTCTCTGTTTCATGTAGATGCTGAGGTAAGCAGTGCTTGACTGACTGGTAGGATAGAAACAGCAAGCTATCAATCTTTATTTGATTTAATATGTCTTTCAAGCATTTGGTTTAACACTCAGGTGCATATGTAGATCTTTCTGAAGTGGGCTGTTAACCTGACTCTTAATAAGGTCAACAATCTTAGTGTAATCTGATAGAGCAGTACAAATGAAAAATGCTCATCTCAAATGGTCTTTATTTTCTTGTCATGTCATATGACCCAATCACTCAAGTTTGTTCAGTTTCATTTCACAAAAAAAAAAAAAGGCAGCATGAAAGAGAAAGAATTCTCTTGGAAAAGGTTGTGTAAGAAAATAAGTCTGTGAAATTCTGTCCTAGATTGAAACTACCTCTCAGGGTCAAAAAATCTCAGGTGTAGTGTGTTGTCTCACCTCATAATGGATGCAGTCCTATTTCTGGTCCCAGCCCTTCTTAGCGTACCTCTAATAGAGATCATCACTGAGATGATTTTGACAAAGGAAACAGTTTTAGTCCTGTTTGTTTTTGAAAGTAGCTGTCCCAGTCTCAGCAAAACATACTCGTGCTGGTTTTGGCTGGAGTAAATTTTCTTCCTAGTAGCTGCTGTAGGGCTGTAGTTTGGATTTGTGTGGAAACAGTCCTGATAACACCAGGATGTTCTAATTACTTCTGAGCAGTGCTCACACAGAGCCAAGGCCTTTTCTGCTCTTCATCCTGCCCCACCAGCTAGGAGGCTGGGGGTGCACAAGGAATTGAGAGGGGACACAGACAGGACAGCTGACCCCAACTGACCCAAGGGATATCCCAGACCATATGGCATCATGCTCAGCATATAGAGCTGGGAGAAAAAGGAGGAAAGGGGGGATGTTTGGAGTGATGGTGTTTGTCTTCCCAAGTCACCGTTATGTGTGATGGGGCCCTGCGTTCCTGTGGATTGCTGAACACCTGCCTGCCCTTGAGAAGTGGCAAATGAGTTCCTTGATTTGCTTTGCTTGTGCATGCGGCTTTTGCTGTTAAACTGTCTGTATCTCAACCCACAAATTTTCTCACTTCCATGCTTACAATTCTCTCCCCCATCCCAGGGGTGGGGGAGTGAGCAAATGGCAGTGTGGGGCTGAGCTCCTGGCTGGAGTTAAACCATGACATATACTAAATACTTGAGGGATTCAGGTTTGATGGAAACAACTGGGAGGACATGTAGAAATAACATCCAGGATGCCTGGGATGGATGCTCACTAAGTGCCTCCTCCAAATGTGGAGAGGGCAGTGATGAGGGGAAGTCTCTCATCTGCTGCCATCACCATCTGCTGCTTCATCTATTTCAGAGTCTTACCTTGAGATGTTCCCACAGACCTGTCAGCCGAGAATGATATCTGGGCTCCTCCATGTTTTCTTCCTGTCTTATGTCCATGTCAGTCTTCCTCTGGTATTTCTTTTAATAAACCATGTTTGAAGGGAGAGAAATGGGTAAAGATGATTTTGAAGTGAAATATAGCCCTCTGGCATCATGGTCAGAGGACCAGAGGGACTGATCCCAGAGTAATGTCTCCTGCCCTCTGGGAGGCAGGGAGGGAGGGAGAGGAGCCAACAAGCTTTTACTTACTTTGAATTCTCCTGAACTCTCTTGGTCTAGATATTTCTATATGCTTTAGAACTCAGAACCAAGGAGTTTATATAATGATACCATGTTTTTCTAATGCCTTTATCAAGATAACTATCTTGTTACCACCAGCCACATGAAGATCACATGCAAATAAGATGAAACATGAGCTGTACTTTAGCAGGATTTATTTTTATGAGTAGATTTTAATGAAGCTGGTGCATTGCATTGACCCATTGCTGGGTATCACTTGCTTTTCCTGCATTTCGATGTGTTGCTGCCTAGGGATAAGGCTGTTTAATTGATCTCCAGTTGCTCTTTAGTGTTTCTGTAACATTCAGAAAAGCATTTCTCACCACTGAAGGAATGGCAGCTGTAGCAGATTAAGGAACTGGGCTGGTATGAAAAGAGACAAATGTGGAAAAGAGACATGCTTGGCACTTGTGATTTCTCACAAGTGTTTTTTAGATGGAAAGCTGATTTCTCTCTCCTTTTTAGTGCTGCTCTTCAAGTTGAAATGGAGGGCTGGAAATGGAAAAATAAGTGATTGCACTGGAAAAATGCTCTTGCACATTTGTGATTTGACCTTGTGCCAGTGCTGCTGGCTCATTAACCAGTGGGTTGACTAAAATGACTCCTTTGAATTGCTGAAATCACATTTAAGATGGCAGATTGATTTTCTCCTTTGTCCCTTGCCTGTTGCCACCTTTCCTTGGACTCTGTCTTTAAGCTGTAGTGCCACAGCTTGTCTGCATGTCGTGACAGCCTTGCCTGTGTGATGTGAGCCCCAGCTGTGTCCCGGTTACTGAACAGCAGTAAATAACAGATACGAAAAAGTGACTTGGAAGAGGCAGCTTCTTAAACCACTTGTTAGCATGAGTGCTCTGTGCTATGTAGGGACCTCATCTTGCTGCTGCCCCGTTGGTCTGAGCTGTCCACCTCCTCACAGCTGCCCTGGCAGGATGCTTGGGATTGTGTGGGGAGGAGGGCTCGGTGGCAGTGCCACATTGTGCTGTGGGAGCTCGGGTGTGGGCCTGACTCACACACCAGAGCTAGAGGTGCAGGGTGAGCCCATGCATGGGCTGTCTCGGCAGGGTGGGATTACAAGCATGAGGCTGCCCGTCTAGTCAAGGTCACACTTTTAGTGCAGGTGCCCCAGGCAGGTGACTGGAGTCAGCTGGGTTGGATTCAGGCCCCCATTAACAAAATGCACAGCAGACATAGGGTGGGATGAGCCCCTGTGGCTGACACCACAGGGTTTTTGTGAAGAAAAGATGGGACTATGTGGTTTGCAAAGGAGCTGAGCAAAACAGGCTGGGAGAATGGGTTGGAGATACTGTGTGAGGGTACTTAAGGTCAGCTTGGTGTCCTTTACTCTTCTTCCTAATCCAAGAACAGGGGAAATGCAGTGAAGATGGAGATTAGTGAGTCTAATGGGAGTGAAGAAGGTGTTTGTTAGCTCTGTTTACTGAGGCCAGGAGCTAAGCATTTTCCAAAATCTCAGACACCCACATGGGTGCTGAGATTCCCTGTTTCAGGGCAGACAAAGATGATACAGTTTGTGTGTATCCTATTTCATAGAAATGCCAGTGACAGCAGATTTTTCCCTCTGCTGAGGGATAGTCAGGGCTGGGTCTTCCCAAATAGCCTCCCAGCCTGTCCCACCTTGGCAAGCTGCTGTGGGGGTCGGACATCACAGGATGATGAGGGGGCAGAGCCATACAGGGCTTTTGTGTACCCTTGCTGCTGAGGGTCAGATTATTGCATTAGGCTGTTTTATCTGCTCAGGTGGAAGTCTAACAGAGAGCTTTCAAAAATCAGACTTTTTGAAACTTCCAGCAAGACTCTTTTTGTGTCAGCTTTTTGTGGCTACTGTGGCACTTGAGGCTAACCACACCTGCGACCTGGCTCAGGAGAACAGCGTTTGTGATAGGCACTTGTCTGCAGAACCCATGTTGGCTGTTGAATCCACCTATTTGATCCCTTGGGACCCTTTTAAGCCCTAAAGAAACCAAGGTGATTATTTGGAGCTTATTTGGTGAGCTAGATGCACAGAGGTTTTTTGCAGCCCCTGCCCCAGACCCTTCACCTCAGGCTTGGTGCAGGGCCACCTCCCTTCCCAGAGATGCTCATGGTTGGTAAGAGGAATCATGTAGTTCTCTGTCTGCACTGTGCTGGGATCGGACAGAGGATCAGATAGAGAATCCTCTGGCCGGTCCCTGTGATCCCTGGGCAGGCAGGGAGTGAGCTCACCTCCCCACCTCCAGAGGGTGCTGGGGAGATAGAAGGATCCATGACTGCTTTGATAGATGAGATCCAATTTTTCAAAACATGGGTTAACATAAAATTTTTCAAGCTATTTAATTTGGAATGTAGTATTTTTCTCCTGCTCCAGTTCCCTCTTTTTTCCCTCTTTTTTAATTTTTTCATCTTTTCTGCCGTTTTAGTCTCTGGGGATGAGGAGGGCTGGAAGCCACAGAGAGTTTTGAGTTGGTGTTTGGGCTGCGTTAGATGCTGCGGGAAGGAAACCTCACCACAGCCTGTCCCTCTGCCAGGCCACCTCCGGCAGCTGTCCCCTGCTGGCGTCTTCGACAGATGGGCGATGCCTAAACAGCAGCTTTGTGTTAATTGAGTTAAAATCAGTGCAATTTTGTAGAAAAAACAGGCTTTCTTAGCTCTGGAACTACTTTATTTTCTTGTCCTCTCTTCATATTTTGGATGTTTTGGTTGGAGAAGAGAAGAAAAATAGAAACTCAAATTATTTTTTAAGGAAAAATATTTCCTTCTTGAGGTAAAGAAAAAAGCAAATGTTTCCCCTGACAGCTTGGAATAGTGTGATTTAGCCACTTCCAGAAAACTTTTAATATTCTTTTGAACTGTCATAATTTTTATTTGGTTGAGCCAGGAAAGAGTAATTTCAGTTCTGTCCCTCAGTGAGTCTGCCAGTGTGTTTGCCATTATTTTCTCTTCCTGATAGAAGCAATTGCCATGTTTCTTTCTGCCCTGGGAAGCCTCAGCTGCCACAAAGGGCTGCAGTCTGATGGGATGTCAAACCACATAGCCCTTGTTAAGCTCCCGTGACTGGCAGCATCTGTGCATTTGCAATGACATCTCTAAATCCATCCAGGACACAAAAGTACTCTAAAATTGTAGCTTTTGTGTGTGTGTGCTGTATGTTTTATTTATAAAGCTTTTAGAGATAGCAGCTTGTTCTCTAATTTATTTTGGGTTGGTGAGGAGGAGGAAATCTCATTGGCAAGATAGAGAATTTGCATTCTGAATTTAAAAGGAATGTGAAAAAAAAATGAATTAAAAAAAAGTCTAAGGTTCTGGGATGTGTTTGTGTGAATAATAATGCTTCCAAAATGATAATGGATTGTGTGTCATCCATTTGTAGAACTGTAGAAACTGCTATGATAAATAAAATATGTCACATTTTAAACAGCATGGGGCCTGTGTGTGTCACTCATCAGATACAATTAAGCAGGAGAATAATTGCCTGCCTGCTAAGTGAAAAAAGGCAATGTCACAGTCCCATGCTCAGCTTTTGTTTGCTCAAGGGGCACTCACTCTGGACACCCAGTTAAGGGCCTGCCCATATTTGATGGGGAGCTGTGAAGCCAAAGATAGGTGGATGTTTGCCAGACTCTCTGAGCTGTGTTATGTTCAGTGTTTAAGACCTCTCTTGTGTATTTGTAGGGGCTTGACCATGACTGGCACTGCTGGGTACTTGCTCCCTGCTGGGTGTGTAGTCCTTGCAACACTAAACCTCCAATTGGTTTTGAGCCGCGAACCCACTGTTTCTTCACAGTGGTCATGTACATCTCATTTGGACCATGTTGTTGGGTCTTTCCAGCAAAAACCAGTGAAGTCTTTTGCCCTTGGAGGATGTCCTAATTTAGCAGAGGAAGAGATACTCAAAGATGTGGACCCAGCCCTTGGGAACCTCTGTTAGGAGCATTGCTTTTGCACAGCTTTGGAGATGGATCAGGACCTGCTAGAGAAGACCTGAGCCTGCTTTGAGGATAAAGATACAGACTAGCTGATTTCTGGGGTTTTAGCCGTGTCTGTTTTTATGCTGCACCACAGTGTGACTAAATCTATGGTGGGACCACATCTGGAGACTAAACTGGTATCAGAGATGTGGTGGGTGGGATGGTTTCTACATGATGGAAAGGCAGCAGAACCTCCTTTTTAAATTTTTTTATTCGGCTCTGGCCTGTTTCTCCTTGCTT